ACTACAGTTTTTGAGAGGTGGTTTTTGTCTCTGATTTTACATTGTTTCTGTTTTTGGTCCTTTTGGTCTCACATTTTTCCAGAGGATGGGAGCTTTATCTCACAAATTTATCCAAGAAAAGACTGCAATCGTGCCCATATACTCAAGCTACAAACATACCCCATAATATCCCACCACAGGGACAGAAGCCAATACCAGCTGCTAGGCATTACATATGAAAAGGGAAGCCTATTTCCAGATCATATCCAAAAGCAAACACTTGGTCAGCTTAACAACACAGTAACATACATTCATTTAAATATTAAAAACCCACCTAACTACTGAAAATAACCAGGAAAAAAACAAACAAAAAAGATTTTCAGAATATGTCCGAAAACAGAAAAGGGTAACTGAGGCAAATGAGGCAGACACAGACTCCCCACTAAAACAAGAGCAAGTTTGGGATCTTCCAGAGAAAGAATCCACAAGAATGACATGGAGACAAATTCAAATGCTCCAAAGAGGGGTTGAGGAACATCAGGAAAGTCTACAGGAGCAATAAAACAAGACAGATACAGCATTGGAAATAATTCAAAACCTGCAAAAACGGTTCTAATGGACAATACACTGGCAGGACAAAGGAGCAGAATTGAAGATATGGAAGCCAGAACCAGAGAACTAGAAGACAAATTTCTCAATACTACTAAGATAGAAGAGTAAGCAGAAAAAAGGATAAAAAAAAAAAAAAAATGAAGAGAGTCTAAGATTCATGCTGGATAACATGAAGAGGAATAACTTAAGAATTACTGGCATTCCGAAACAGAATGAATCACAGAAGTCCACAGAGGAGATAGCTGCAGAGCTTCTGGAAGAAAACTTCCCTAACATTATGAAGGATGAGAAGAGAGCAACATTCAAGAAGCTGAACGGGGGAACAAACAAGATGGCAGATCAGGTAGAAGCGTAGGGAGGAGCTCTGTCAGCAACAGCACAGAATACGGGGCCAAGCAGGCTGAGGGGATGGTGCCAGAACTCTGAACCATACATTAAGGAATATTTAGAAGGTTGGACGGATTACAGCTAGGGGAATTTGTA